GTGCGAGGCGAGGAGGGGTCTCCCAGCCAAGGGACTCGGCCGTGCACACTCTGGGTCTCCAGCTGCTCCCAGGTAGTGAAGAGCAGCCAGGAGCACCGAGGGGACCCGAGAAGAACCTCCACCACGAGGGGTTTTCCAGGGCTGGCCTGTGGGCGAGGTTTGGGACAAGGAGTCCCTGTGTGTGGACCACTAAGAGAAGGAAGGGGAACAGCCACCGCCCAGAGAGACTGTCCCTGACTTGCTGGAAGGCAGTGTGGTGACAGCCTGCAGTGGCCCCGTCCAGACGACTCCCCTCTCTCACAGAAAGTCCTCTTCACTGGTGTCAGGGCACCTCCTACAAGAGAGGGCTTCCTTGGTTTTGCTCCCCAAGACATAAAGGGGGTGAAGCCCCCACCACCACCCCTGCGGCCTTCCCTCAGAGTTGCTTTGTCACATGTTTTCCACACCCAGTCGCCACTGACCCTTTCATTCTGGGGTGTCCAGCTCTACTGCAGGATGAGGGGCCAGCTGATGTGGCTTCCCCACCCCCCCACCCCATCCGTTGCCATGGTAACGGCATGCCCTCCTGTTCCTGCAGAATATTGCTTTCTTGTAACCTTCCTCCCTCCCTCCCTCCCTCCCTCTCCTCCTCCTTTTTCTCACACAAAAAGAAAGCACAAGTGTTTTATATTCATTTTGCAAAATGCTGTGTAGTGCATACTAATTGGTGTGGCTTCCTCCTGCTTTGCGCCTTTCCCGTTCTGGGAGGCAGGATTCCAGGCCGGCACAGGCGCGGGCCCAGCCGGCTGCTCATTGGAACGGAGGCCGGTTCCGTTTCCAGAGGCCAAGTGGCGTGTCTCTAGCTCAGGGCCTTTCTTCCAGGCCCTAACCAGGTGTCTCGTAAGCAAGGCTGCTGAGGTCACCTTGTCCTTGTCCTGGAGCTTCCTTTCCGCAGACCAAGGGCTGTGGGGTCTCCAGGGGCTGGAGTAGCAAAACCCTGGCTCCACACAGACACTCAGTGCCGCATCCCTCTGTTTCCCGGGCCCCCTGTTGACATTGCCTCCCAGGGCCTTTCTCCCACGGGGGCCTCTTCTGGCTCCTGAGGCAGAGTCCTGGCCTAGGCCTGCATCAGGAGTGTTGATCTAAAGCGTCACCTTCAACTCCTGGGCTGAGTGGGGTCTGCTGGTCACCTGGGGGAAGGACCATGAGCCTGGATGTCCACCATCTCAAAGCCCCAGAGTGGCACTCCACAGACTCCCCGCTCCCCTCTTCAAGGTGCCCCTTGCCCTCCACTGTGACAGCCCCTTCCCTTCTGGCCAGTAAGAGGCTGAAGGACATGGTGATGCTGGTCTCTGGTGTTCACTTTAAGGGACTAGAAGGTCAGTGTGTGTGCAAGTGAGCATGTACACACGTGTGCACACACCGTGTACAAGTGGCATCACCCCTGGCAGGACTCTCTGTGGCCTTTTTGCCAGCCCTTGGGGACCAGAGAAACACCTTTTGATATGCAAGCACAAGGGGAGTGGCTGGGATTGCCTGGGACCTGTCGGCTTTAGTTGTGCAACTGAAGTGTAATTCGCATTCATTTGCCATTTGGTATTAAACTTCCTAAAATAAGAGAATTCAAAATGTAAAATACAGAGCTTTGCTGGCTGCACTGTCCAGTGGGACAGAGGAGGTGCACAGAGAGGCACGGTGCAGTTCTCTTGTGGGGAAGTAAAATCTGAAGCCCTCCGCGTGTGTGCTGCTGTCCCAGCCCAGTCCCTAAGGCTGGACCACCAGCCCTGCCTGGCTGTGGCACCAACAGTCCTGTAACAGAAGTGGTGCACGAGGACCACCTCTAACCGTCATGACAGCCTCGCATACTGAGCAAACAGCAGCGCCCCTCGGGCCAAGTTGCTGTCTCCTGGAGCACGTGCGCTGCACTGTCCGTGTTTCCCGCCCCTTTCCCCCCAGTACCTGTCCTGTCGGCCTTGCTTCTCCAGCCAGCACAGGCCCTGACCGCAGCTGGCACTCAGTAGATGCTGGGCAGGGGGGCTGTGGGAGTGAAGCTGACTGGTGCTCCAGTTTGGGGACCAGAGCTGAGTGTGAAGTGGACTCCCTGTCGCCTTGAGCACGTGACCCCATGTAAGGTGAGACCGAGGACAGCGAGGCGTGAACGCTGGCTGGCTGAGAGCAAAGACAGCCTCTCCCCCTTCCCCCTTCCCCCTCCTCCTCCACCTCTCCCCCTTCTCTTACAGTCCGGCTGTGGGGCCAGAATGTGGAGACACCTCACAGGAGGAGCGAGGCCTCTCAGGGGCTACTGCCAAACATCTTTCCTGACAGGGAAATCGGCCTGTGCCGTTAGCGTGGTGTGCGTCAGCGTGGCCCTCCTGGGGCCGGGATCTCGCCTTCGTGCCAGCCGGGCCCCAGCTGCCTCGTGCTGTTCTCACTTGCTGCATTTGACTGCCAGGGCCGGCTGCCTGGAGGAGGCGTGCCTCTGTGCACCACACAGCCAGGCCTGGGCGGAGGGGCTGGCGGGCGCCGAGAGCTGAGAGACACACAGGTTGCCTCCTTGATCCCCTCCGCTCTCCTGTGAGTCTGAACCAGGCATGAGATCGTCGGAGGGTCAGCGAGGGTCCCCTGCCTGGGGCCGTGGGCAGAGCAAGAGCAGATTGCTCAGCAAGTACCATTGGGTCGGGAACTAGGGTGTCAGTTGGGGTTTTGACTTGTTGGGGTGCTTTTTGAGGTAGAATCCACATACCACGAAGTTCACCCTTTTAAAGTATACTCTGCAGACGAGGTTATGCAGCCGTCACCACTAAGTTCAGAAGATGTTCGTAGCCCCCGGGAGAAACCCTGCACCCGTTAGCAGTCGCTCCCTGTGTCTGCTCCTCCAGCCTCTGGTAGCCGTTCATCTACTTCCCGTGTCTGTGGACCCGCCTGTTCTGGACATTTCACGGAAGTGGAATTGTCGGGCCCTGTGTGGCTCGTGCGTCTGGCTTCTCAGCAGTTTTCGAGGTCCACCGTGTTGTGGCGAACATCAGAGCTTTGCTCCTTAGTGTCGCCGGCTGGCGTTCCCGGGCGTGGCTCTGCTGCATTCTGTCAGCTCTTTAGCAGCTGGCGGGCGTTTGGGTCGTTTCTGCTTTCTGGCTCTGACGCCCGAAGCTGCCGTGCACGTTCCTGCGGAAGTTTGTGTGTGGACCTGTTTGCAGCGGTGGCCCCGTGTTTAACTTCTTGAGGCACAGTTGGCTGGCGTCTTGCCTCGCTGTTTACTTTGGAAAAGTCACTCCTCCACCTGGACTCCCTGGTCCCCTTTGCCTCCCCGACCTTTAGACAGTGACTTGCATGGAAGATCAAGAATGTGGAGCGTGCATCCTGGGAGCCAGGGCTCAGGCTGCTCCCTCGCGTGGCAAGCCCAGTACGGTCACTGCTCTGCGGTCTGTCCCTCACCCCACCCTCTACATCCTTTCTGCCATTGTGGAGGCGAAAGCCTTCTGGGGGCCTCCTTCAGTGGCAGCCGAGGCCTGGGCCTTCCTGCTTCTGGACCTAGTCCTGCGCAGGCCTCCAGCTCTCCACCGGGACCAGGCAGCCCTTGCTCCTGCCATCCGCCTGGACTGCTCAGCAGCCAGGCTCTGCAGCCAGCATGGATGCCTTCCCTACAGGCCCAACAGTCAGACTGTCCCAGGTGCGCTGAAGGGCAGGGGCGTGTAGGTCTAGCCCAGGCCATGGGCTAGAGAGAGTCTGATTCAGCTGCAGCCCCAGCCCCCCAGCATGGCACCTGGCAAAGCACACAGGAGAGAGACAAGGGAAGAACTCTGCTAGACAGCCAGGAGGTGGCATCCGTATGTGAATGCCACGTCCAACCTGGGTGCGGCTAGGCAAGGAGTGAAGTGACTATCTCTTGGGAAGCTGGGCCAAACACACCAGGCTGCTGGGAGAAGACCGTGGGGCCAGAATGGGCCAGCAGGCAAGGAGCTCGGCTGCGTGTGCCAGGCCGCAGAGGGGACCCCGGGAGGGGAGGGACAGCTGGGGCAGGTAGGATGGGGTGCTGGCACGTTAGTTGCCTAGGGACAGGAACTGCTCTCAAGCTTTGAGGAGAGGTTAGTGGCTTTCATTTCTTTTGAGATAAAATTCTCCCTTTAAAACTATACAATGCAGAGATTGTTAGTACATTGACAAGGTTGTATACCCATCACCACTCTTCTAACTCCAGGACGCTTTCCGAGTCCCACAGAGCACACTGGAGCTGCTTAACCTTGACCGTAGTCAGCACATTGCGCTGGCTGGCTGTGGTGCTCTGGCCACCTGGAGCTTTGTGTCACTCCCACTGGTCCAGGGCTTCCCAGGTTGCAGGGGCAGCCCTGGGTCACCTTGCAACACAACGCTGACCTGAGCCTACACTTTGGACCATTCTCCATGCTCAACTCTGCGTCCTCCTTGGGAAAGCTTGGCGGGCAGGGGTCAGGTTCAGGGGCCTCACTCCACTCGCTTCTGTGTACGCACGTCTGGAAGTTAGGAAGTCTTCTGTCCCGGAGCCCAGAGTCACACCCTAGGTGTGGAGGGTCCTTTGAGACATGCTATGGCCTGGTGTCACTTCTACAGAAGGATCTGACCCTGACCCGGTGGGGAGCTGGGCCACCGCTGCCACACCCAGAAGCGTGGCCTAGAGAGCACTGCTGGGTCAGCGTTGGGGCGGGGCCGGGAGATGTATGCTGCGCAGACTGTGCTCTGGTGCCTGGGCCCCACACATCCTGGGGTACCCTCGCATCCCCACTCCAGGGGCCAGAGGGGAGTGTCGTGGCAAAGCTGACTTCCAGGCCTCAGGTTCGGCTTTCTTCCTCTAGCTGCTCCTGTCCACTGCCTGTCTGTCCCCTTCAGTTCAGTCCTTTGTGGAGCTTTCGGAGCACTGCTCTGGCCTCAGTCTCTCACCAGCTGTGGCCCTCTGCAGACGCCGCCCCACCTCCTGGAGGAGGCTCTCTGTCTCCAGCCGTAGCGGCCATGGGGGTCCTCGTCCCTCATCCTCTGCCTTTCTCCCCCAGGTTATCCTGAAGGACCTAGAAGTGCTGGCAGAAATTGCTTCCTCCCCTGCAGGCCAGACAGAGGACCCAGGCCCCCTCGATGGCCCTGACCTCCGGGTCAGCCACTCAGAGCTCCAGGTGCCCGCGCCTGGCAGAGCTGGCCTGCTGACCGCTCCCAGTAAGTATTCCCCTGCTGCTTCCAGCCTTGGGGACCTGGGAACACTAGTGCTCCGTCTCGTCCTGGATGGGACCGTCCTCAGGGCTGTCACTCTCAAGCCTTGGAGTTCTGCCAGGATGTGGGGGGTCAGTGATGGCCACTCTCCAAGAGGCAGGCGGACCTTGCCTCCTGGCTCACACCCCAGCGGCCCCCTCACCCCCGTAAGAGACGCTCACATCCCTCTTTCCTCGTCTTCCTGCACCTTTTATCATCTTGAACATTGGCTTGATGTAAAACCATCTGAGTCAGCTATCGTCTCTTTCCCTGGGGCTGCGTCTACCCAGTCAGGGATCCGGGGGCCTGGGAGTCGGGGCTCACAGGTGGAAGACTAGGCAGCCATTTCCTTCCTCACTGAGAGGCTAAAAATAGCTCTGAACGTGGCAGGCAGCCCAGGCAAGAGACAGCATAATTCAGACGTGTTTCCAGGCAGTCCTTGGCCATGAAGGTGGCTGTGCTGTTTCTGGGGCTCACCTTTGAGCTCCTTCTAGACATCGGGTGGCCCTTCTCCCAGACCAGTGCGACTCCCAGCACCTCCCTCCCAGGCAGACACCAGTTCCCCCCGTGATGTCATCTGGGAAATGCCCAGGGATGCAAGTCAGCAGGAAAGTACCAGCGAATCTTCGGTGTTTGCGTGGAATGTGTCTTTGTCCCCTGAACTGCTCTTGACATCCAGGCACAAGGTCCTGAACAGCCCCTGCTCTGATGCAGAAGCCAAGTGTCAAATAAACTTGGGCCCTTCAGCAGCAGCTTGCCTCCTGCAGCACCCAGGCTGGCCCCAGAGAACGCCTGGCACTCTGCTCGGTGGAGCCACAGAGGCCCCGCAGGCCTGACCGAGCCCAGGGCTTCGAGGCTGGCACGGAAGGCCATGCACTGGAGATGTCTCCCGGTGACATCCGAAGTCCAGCCCCACTCTTGCCCTTGCAGCGGGTACCACTAGGCGCCCAGGCTGCCCGTGCTCTCTTGCAGCCAGTCCCCAGTTTCCCACTGTTTCTGACTAAAGTAAGTAAGGGGCTACGGGGCTGCCATGGCCACTCAGCTCCCTGCTCGTGTTTCCCAGGAGGCAGTGGTTTCCTCCAGCAGTCAGAGGCCATAGTTAGGGAGGCTCTCGTGTCCTGACCTGGGGCCCACGCTGAGGTTCCCACCCTCCGTCCTGCAGCCCAGGACTCCATTCTTCATCCTGGGTCCCCAAGTCAGCACCTAAGGGTCAACCTGAAGTCCCAGGATGGATGGCAGGAATGCCACAGGTTGCGTGTGGGGGGAGGGCCCTTCATGACAGGGTGAGGCAGAAGGCTCTTTGTAGGAGAGGGAGGGCCTGGAGGGCAGGGACAGGGTGGCCCTAGAAGAGGGGGCAGTGGCCAAGAGATAGTACCTGCAAGGCTCAGGCCAGCCTTCAGGTCCCCTTGTCAGAGCATCCTCTGCCCTCAGCGGGAGAAGCAAAAAGCTGCGGTGGCACAGCTCCAGGCAGAGGGGACACCTCGGCCTCCCGGAACTCTGTGCTCCACCTAGAAGGTGGCTTTTCTCTTCCTTGGGGGCACAGAGAAGTGCCACTGGAGCCCTGCATGCCTAACTGCACCCCAGGGCCTGCCGAGGGGGGCTCATTGTGACTGAAATGCTTACTTGCTTGAGGATGGGCCACAGAAATGGCTGTGGGTAGCCCAGGTCTTCTGGAGAGGGTGGGGTGCACCCAGGGCCAGAGGGCCCGACCCAAGGAGTCCTAGTGACAGCAAGCCCTTTCAGCCGCTCAGGTCAGGAATAGGGGCTGAGGGTGCTGGGAGGGCAAACACTGAACCCCCGCTCCTGGATCCACCACGGTGACGGGCCACCAACAAGGCTGAGTCCATCAAGACTTGCCCCAGCTCTCCAAGGCTGTCAGACTGGCTCAGCCCAGCCCGGGCTCACCCTGAATTCATAGAACAACAACCAGCTGAGCCGGATGGGAAGACATTTCATCCTAGAAAGAACACCAAGAAAGTGCCTGCAGCCAGTCATGTTTCTCGCTTCAAGGACTCCCGGTGCCAAGGGCTACATGCTCTTCGCTGAAGACTCGTGCACATGTGCGTGTGCATCTACAGCTGGTACCACAGTTCTCAAATGAGTCCCTGATTTTAAAAGGTCAAGATCAAGTTCGTACCACAGAAGAGCATGTGAAGCCAGACCTGGGCCCCGGCTGCCCTAGGGAGGGCATGTACCAGTCACCAAGGCTGTTGAGGGCGGCTCTGAGGACGGAAAGGACACAAGAAGTGCACACTCGTTCCTCTGCAGGCTACTCGGTGTCTCGTTGCTTGTACATACAGGCAAGGGGGTCGTTGTGTCTGCTTTTCTCTGGCCGTGCACGTGGGCAGTGGCTGCAAGGCCAGACCCCCTTCCTGTTTGGATTCTCCTCTCCTTTGGCTCTCCCTGGCACTGCTCCGAGAACTCGCAGGGCACAGTGCTGCGTCCCTTCAGGGTAGGTCTCCCCACCCTGTGCAGGAACTTCCTGGAAAGCCAAGGAGGCAAGGAACGTAGCAAAGACGAAACCAGTGGTGTTCATAGGGAATCAAATGGCACTGTCTGCGTGTTGGGTCTGGAAACTCAAATGGTACAGATTGAATCAGTGGTAGGGAAGCAAGGCCCATTATACGCCAAGGCAGTTGCTGTGTTGGCCTAAATGCATGACAGCAGTGGTCCCCAGGGCCCACGAGGGGAGGTTGTTCCCTTTGTCAGGGCCATTTTGATTGAGATAGGGTGAGGAAAGTGTGGGGTGTAATGGCACTTTGGCCTTCTCTGCCCATCCCTACTTGGGGGGATGTCGGCTGAGTCTCTGCCAGGCTCCGGGGAGAGGAGACAATGAGCCCCTGTCATGCGGATCTGAAGGGCCTGACCCTGAGCCTGTGAAGAAGGCTCAGCGGGCACAGGAGGGAGGCCTCTGGGACCATTCCCCTGGTAGACACATGCCTGGCCCGCGTGGGGCTTGGACATCCCAGCTGCAGAGTGGGAGCAGCCTTGGCCAAGCACAGCAGTAGTGTGGCACTCTGGGGCCAAAGGTCACGCCAGATCTGATGTTTGCCCCTAAAACCCCATCTTTCTGTTCTTCTGGCTCCGGGCCCATCTTGGTGGGATTAAACTGCTTACATCCCCCTCTCAGGTCCAAGGGGGAATGCGACCCCAGCTCTAAAAACAGACAAAAGTGAACTGTCTGATTCTGTTTTGTTCCTTATAGCCCAGGCTGGCGTGGCCAAAGCAAAACGAGGTTCTAGAAAGCGACCCCTGGGCATTTTCCGCAGTGCTAACTGCGGCTGCAGCGTGTGGGGCTCTGTTAGGGCCAGGGTCTGTTCTGAGCACTCGCCACGTGTCAGCTCCCAGAGCCGTGGATTAGCTCGGGGCATCTCTGAGAGGAGAGCGCCACTGTCGTTCCCACCTGGTGCGGGGACTGCGACCGGCGGGGGTGCTGACCCAGGAGCCTGGTCTGAGAGCCTGCTCTCTCCACCCCCACACTCAGGAGCACAGGGGAGCCCCAGCCTTACCCAGCTTTAGACGCTCCCACCGCCCGAGGGGAGGTGCAGAACAGTGGTAGCCAGGCCTGTGGTCTCCTCTGGGTGCTGGCTTCTGAACCCCACCCCCTGGGCCAGATTCCTCTCCCACCTCTGTCCCTCCCACCCGTCGCGATGCGCACAGGTGCTGGGGTTCCCGAGTGTCTCCCTCCTGGCCCTGACCTTTCAGACCCTGCTTCTCAAAGTGCAGGTTGTGCAGCCTCAGCGTCACCTGGAATGTCGTCAGAAATGGGGACACTTGGCCCCACCCCAGACACAGAATCTCCTTGTCAAGATCCCCAGGTGACTTGTGTGCCCCTCACGGTTTGAGAGGCGCCAGCTCAGACTACAGGGGCCTCACGGTGCTGACAGGAAGAGGGGGCGCCAAGCCGGCCACCCCATCCCCAGTGCCGGGTCGGAGGCTCGCCTACCACCACCACCCAGGCCTTAGCTGGTCACCAGACGGAGGAGAGCCTGCGGCCGCCTCCAACCCAGGCCCATGGCTGTTGATCAGCCTGAGAGTCCCTCCTCCTTTCCCTCTCTCCAGAGCTGCCCATGGCCCCAGGCTGCTTGCTCCGACAGCCGCCAGAGCTGTCTCCTGGTGCCACCCCTCTCCACTGCCATGTCAGCACCAAGTTCCTCTGGGGCCCGACAGGGGCCGGTGAGCTCTGACCCAGACAGCTGGGAACCTCCTGGATCCGGTGGCTTCCCCAGGGCAGATGCTCCTGACCTCAGCTGGGCTGACCCGTAGAAAAGAAAGTGACCACTTTTGCATCAGTCTCACCTTTGGATACTGTTGCTACAACATCTTAACTACCCTTTTGTCCTCAGAGCTGTGGGGCTTGGGCTCTCTGATTCCCCAGACTCTGCCCCTGCCACCCCCCAGACACCCTTTCACAAGAGCCAGACTGCTCTCTCCCAGGGTGAGCCCCTCCCCACCTGTCCCCTTTGATTCCAAACCAGCCCCCCACTCACTCAGCCCCCCTCTGAGCACGTCCTGTGCCAGGAACTCGCTAAGCTCCTTATCACTGTGAGTCTCACAGACTGGAACAGTGCTACCCTGGAGGAGGTGTCACTTCCTCAAGACTGCCCTGCCAGTTAGCGACAGGACCTGGGTCTCACCTGGGTCCTCCGGCCCTGCCCCGCACTCTCAGGGCAGTGGATCCAGAAAGATGCCCACTGGAGGGGCCGGCAGGGGGGTAGACGGAGGGTGGGGGTAAGCAGGGACCCCACTGGGCCTGGGCCGGGCGGCTAATGTTTTCCCATCTGGTTTTGTTGAACTGTAACTCGCGTTGTGTATTAAGGCCAGAGCTATTTTTATCCTGACATGTGAGGCTCCTTCACGTCATAGCCACAAAACTCAATCCAAAACATCCCAGGGAAGGTTGTTTGTGAGACGTTCTGCAGATTCTCATGTTGCCACATCAGGTTTCACTTAGCAACATCTGCGGG